CCCACTGCTGGACCTCCTGAGGGCACCTGGTATTTTTGGCCACTGTGTGACAGACAGAGTGTTGGACTGGATGGGCTGTTGGCCTGACCCAACATTGGCTTCTCTGATGTTCTTATGTCCTCTCCCTCTGGGGACCGTATGTCACACAGTGGCCAAAGCGGTATCATCTTGAGCATCCATCAGAGGCCAGGAGGAAGAGCTGTCTAGGAAGGGGATGCCTGGGGATCTCTCACCGTTGATTGTTTGGGATGAAGGAACGTGCCCATGAACGGAGGAAGGATGGGGGCAAATGGGAGAGGTGAGGTGGGTGGCAAAGTGTCCCCGGAGGGGGCATGGACCTTCCTCGTCCACCCTGCCTCTGGCAAGTCTAGCATGGGGTTTCTCTCTTGCTGGACTACTGTGAGAAGCCCAGCCCAGCTGCTCTTTGTGTGGCCTGGCAGAAGCATCCAAAGTTTGGAATGGTCACTCAGACTCCCCCCCCGTTTTGCCTTAAATAAATGGCCTCTGACAGCCACGCTCTGCCTCACGTGGCAGGACTTTGGGAGGTGCCTGGGACCGCGTGGCAGAGCAAAGCTGAACTTTCTCAAAGGGAAGCAGAGAGCCGTGGGGGGTGGGGGTGGGGTGGGGGTGAGGCTCAGAACCCTGTACGCCCAGCTCCGCACGAATCGGGCCCTCGCTTCCGTCTCTGCTCAAACCAAAGAAAGAAAGGGCCTTTCTCTGCTGGAGCACTCAGGGCGCCGCTGCCGGTCAGAAGAGAGGAGGGCGGGCTGATGCCCAAGATGGCGGTTTCGTGTGTTCATGCGCAAAACTAAGAAATGACGCTGAGAGTTGCCAACTGCAAGCTGGAAAAGCCCTGGAGGTTTGGCAGTGGAGCCTGGGGGAGGCAGAGTTTGTGGGGGCGAGGGGGCTCAGCGGGGAAGCCACCGCCGGCCCTTTCGAGAGCAGCCCTTTCCTCCAAGGGGGCTGATCTCCGTAGTCCGGAGATTAGCTGCAATTCTGGAAAATCTGCAGGCCCCACCTGGATGTTGGCAGCCTACAGAGGAGGAGGAGGAGGAGGAGGAATACTGTCATATAGTTGCCAGCTCTAGGCAGGAGAATTCCTGGAGATTTGGGGGCAGAGCCTGCGGAGGGCAGGATCTGAAGAGGAGTTGGGACCTCAGTGGGGTATAACGCCAGAGGCCACTCCCCGAAGCTGCCATTTTCTTCAGAGGAACTGAGCTATATCGCTTGGAGTGCAGTCATAATTGTGGGGGATCCCCAGGCCCCACCTGGAGGTTGAGGAAACCCAACAACATCCATGACAAAAATAACGGAGTCAATAAATATAGGTTGCAAAGTCATTGACTGTAGTCGTTCTGTAGAAAATTCTCTTCTATTGTCGCTCACACGCTAATGAACGCTGCGCAATGTAAACAATTTGTTTCACAATATTTGCTTTATCTGAGCATGTAGCAATCACAATTCTTATCAATTACTACTTATCGACTCTTGAAGGAAACATTCCACGTTGACTGGAGGGAAGGAGGTTTGAGGGAGAGGCTCCAAAATCGCAGGGTAGCTGCTGGAGCCTCTCCCCAAGATACCTGCCATGTTTCAGGAACAGTGAGCCAGGGTGTCCAATTCTACGGGCCCCCAAACAGGTTGCCCCTATCCCCTCCATTGTTCTCTATGGTGGGGAAAAAAGTTACTGGTCCAATGTTCTTCAAACTTGGTTGGTATCTTGGGGAGAGGCTCCAGCAGTTACCCTGCGAGTTTGGAGCCTCTCCCTCAAACCCCCTCCCCTCCAGCCCCCAGACTATACCCTATGTTTTCGCCATTGACTTCAATGGCCCATAGGATATAATGGGGCCGAAATTGACATTTGGCTGTACCTTTTTCAGGCCCGGCGTTCTACCGTGGAGCCTGAAAAAGGTGGGGAGGAAAGCTCAGCAGTCTCCCCCCCCCGTGATGTCACAAACAAGAGCAGTGTTCCCTCTAAGCTGAGTGAGTGTGAGCTAGCTCACAGTTTTTTAGCCTCCGGCTCACACATTTTTGTCTTAGCCCAGGAAGAAGGGCTCCAGAGCAAGCTAATTTATGCAGTAGCCAAATCACTTGCTCACAACTTTAATGCCAGGAGCTCACAAAGTAGAATTTTTGCTTACAAGACTCCACAACTTAGAGGGAACATTGCATGAGAGGTAGAATTTGCCCCCAGGAGTCCAAGGCCACCACCCTGGGGCTCAGGGAGGCAGGAGAACTCGCAGCTGCCGCCACAAATAGCGGGCAGCTATAACTTTTTAAAGAGCCCTAAGGAGAGCTGGGGGAGCCAGAATGACCTCTCGCACGAGAGGTGGAATTTGCCCCTACGAGTCCAAGGCCACCACCCCGCGATCCTAATCACTACACCAAACTGATGAGGAACTATAGTTAAGTCGGTCTGTCTTTGTGGGTTCTGTGGGAGAGGGGGGAGGAAATGCACGAGGTCTCCCAAGTTGTGTGAAGGAACCAGAATGAAGAGCGGGTGCATCAGGGGCACCCCTCGGCGGAAGCAGCGCCAGAGCTGGGGATGCTAGGGGTGAATGGGCACAGCTGTTCCAAGGTGAAGATTTGGGGAAACTTTGTGTTCGTTTTTCTCAGCCCTGGAGGCCGGCACTGCAGCTGCCTTTCAACCCAGCTGACTTTGGGGTGGCGTGTTCAGAGGAAATGCCTGTAGGTTCACGGGAAGTTCGTAAAAAAACACAAGAATTTCAATACAAATTTGTAAAATTCCTCTGAGTCGGGGGGGGGGGGGTAGCTGGTTGGAGATACACGTAAAAACCAAACCCAGTTGAGCCACTGGGTGGCGCTTTGGATCCAAGAAGGCCCTGGGAAGACCGGTGACTGTTTTTAAGACTTTAAGGTGGCAGGATCTAGCAGGGGTAAGATTAGGCTGAAGGTCCTTGTTAAAATACTTGTTAAAACAGTACAGGGAACGCAATAAAGTTTGCAGCTTGCTTTTCTGCACTGCCATCCTAGTTCTCAAAATTATCAGCTTGATACCTCATGTACCTGAATCCCCTCCCCTCACACGTTATTCTAGCGTTCCCTGAGAAACATAGAGGACGGTACCCGTTGCCCCTCTGCATGAGTCATGGCTTTGCCCTAGCTTCTCTACCAGTCTAGCCTCTCCTCCCGCAGCAGCTGTGGAAGCATTTTATCACTACTATGGAGGCAAGAGAATTGCACATCCTCAGAGGAGGGGCTTGTTATATCTCTGTGTGAGTCACTGTTCTGGGTCTGTCCCAGCTCCCTTCTTCCAGCCATTGACTTCAGTCACTTGGCTGCTGGGTGACGTGGGTCAAACCCAATGCCCACCATGGATCAGCAACACCCAGCGTGCATTCCAGGTTTTTTTTACTAGCAGGATTTACTGTGAAAGCAAAGTTTTACAAGAGCATCTTGTAAAAGCAAAGTTTTACAAGAGCATCATGAGCATCTTGAGCTGGTTTGAACTGGATGCACAGGGCGGGGTGAGGTGGGGGGCAGGACCAAGAATGGGGAAAGGTAAAACAGGTTCGAACTAACAGAAGCACTTATAAAATTGATAAGGGCTTCCAGCCCATTTCATGTCCTTTCCCCGGGGCGATCTATAGCCTGCCCTATAGAAACAGAGCCCTTTTATAGAGAGGCTCACACCCAGTGCTCCCCCTAAGCTGTGGAGTCTTGTGAGCAAGAATTCTACTTTGTGAGCTACTGGCATTAAAGTTGTGAGCGAGCGATTGGGCTGCTGCATAAATTAGTTTGCTCTGGAGCTCTCCTTCCTGAGCCACGACAAAAAGGTGTGAGCCGGAGGCTAAAAAACTGTGAGCTAGCTCACACTAACTCAGCTTAGAGAAACAGTTCGGTTTCTTAGCCATTACCCTCCACCACCTCTCGCAACAGGGCAGCGGTCTGCCTCTGCAGCTGATGCTAATCATGTGGTAGAGTCCCGAGCTGGTAGAGCGGACTGTACCACTGCAGACTGGAGGTTTGGCCTTGTGTTTTTGAATGCCTCTTTAGGCGTTTAGACTTCTCTGCAAGTGGAAGACTAGGGCCACTGGGAAAGGCCTTATCTAGAACCTTTCCCCATGAGATATTAGCTTTCTGCTTGCAGAGAGGGTGGTGTTTTGCGGGGTGGCAAATGCCTTCCCCGCCACCACCCGCAATCTACAGTTGTTCAGTCCACATGATCAGGACTTTAGTGCCGCTTTCTGCTGCCTCTGTGATCCTGCATGCCAGAGGGTTTGTGACCCCCCCAAGTGCTTCGGGGGAGCAGGTCTGCAGTTCCTCATCCCCCAGAGTTCAAAAATGGCTTTGTAGTTTGCCGAGCAAGACGTGTTAACTGCCAGTGTGCACGAAAGAAAATAGGAAGCCGTAAGGAACAGAGGAGACCCTGTTTTTGTCTGGCTTCCGGCGACAGGAGCTGCACATTTTGTGTTCTCTCTCTCTCTCTCTCTTACCAGCTGGAGCTCGCAGAGGAGAAAATCCACGTTTGTCAGGGTGGGCTTATTGGTTTCTGGAGAGATGCTTTGGCAGAATACAGCCCTGGCAGCCTGTCTCACAGAAGCGAGGAGCAGAGAGCATGTCGCGTGCCCAAGGAACGCAGGGAGCCTATAGGTCCAGTGCCAGGAGCCTGCAGGTGGGCAGAGGACTCGGGCATTGGTCTCTGCTCCACCAGCCTCCGTTCAGACGGCCCCGGCAAGCTGAGGGAACGGATGCCGACTGGCGGAGGAATGCCTCCCGGATCTGAGTGGCTGCTTCAGAGAACGGTGTGTAACCCGAGTGCTTAGCAAAAGGCGAGTGGGGGAGAGAGGAGGAGGAGGAGGAGGAAGGGGGGGAAGGAGGAAGAGGATGCTGGAAAAATCCCCACCCCTGCCCTTTGGTTCCTAGCCGGCGGCGATGATCACCTAGCTCTGGCATGTGTCCCTCCGAGCCCTGACCCTCTTTCCCCAGCCAGCTGGCCCTCGGACAACCTCGGCTCTCTTCCCGGTCCCGTCTCCTCGATGGAAGGAGTCGTCGGCAGCTCCAACGCCAGTGCGATCGGGGACCGGTCTGTGCCGAGCGGCAGCGCCTGGGTGGCCGCCTTCCTCTGCTTCATCATCCTCCTGACCATGCTAGGCAACTTCTCGCTCATCCTCCTGATCTTCACCCAGCGGTCCCTGAGGAACACCTCCAACTACTTCCTGGTCTCCCTCTTCATGTCCGACCTGATGGTGGGCTCGGTGGTCATGCCCCCGGCCATGCTGAACCAGCTCTACGGCCGCTGGCTGCTGGACGCTGTCTTCTGCTCCGTCTGGTTCTCCTTCGACGTGATGTGCACCAGCGCCTCCATCCTCAACCTCTGCGTCATCAGCCTGGACCGCTACCTGCTGATCATCTCCCCGCTCAAGTACAAGCTCCGCATGACCTCCTGCCGGGCCGTCTTGCTCATCCTGGCCACCTGGACCTTGGCCGCCCTGGTGTCCTTCCTGCCCATCAAGATGGGCTGGCACGAGATGGAGTTCGATGCCCGGCCGCCCAACGCCACCGCCCGCCCGGAAGAGGAGCAGTGCCGCCTCCTGGTCAGCCTCCCCTATGCCCTCATCGCCTCCGGCCTGACCTTCTTCCTGCCTTCCATCGCCATCCTCTTCACCTACTGCCGCATCCTCCTGGCCGCCAGGAAGCAGGCCCTGCAGGTGGCCTCCCTGACCAACAACGTGGCCATCGAACCGGACGAGCCCACCCAGCAGGTAAAGCTGAATGAAGCTCGCCTCCCTCGTCAGAGGCAGGAGACTGGGGCGTGGGCCTGTGCATGGGCCTGACTGTCGTCCCTGCCCTCTGACCTCGGGTGTGTGACTTGCCAGCTCTGTTTTGCCTGTATGGAAGGAAATGCACTCTGCACATGCTTACAGGCACCTGTTCAGTCTTGTCATGTGACGTGTCCCCGAGCGCCCTGTCTCCCAGAGAGGCAGTGGAATACCTCTTTGGGGTGGGTGCTGTGCTAGGGTACTAGCATGCTGTAAGAAATGAGGTAAGCAAGGATTTCCGTGCACCCAGCATAGCTACCCACAAAGGAGGTTGCTGTTGTATCTCTGCATGATTTACTTACCTTGACTCCTGTCCAAACTGTCTGGGGCAGGTAATTCTGTGGATCTGAATCAAGTGTGGTTGGATCAGTTCCTGAGGTAGAGACCTGGCAGAATTACCCTCTCTTACTGGAGGTTTGCCCATTGTTTCTCTGTATGAGTCAGTCCTCCTGTCAGCTAGCTTCGACTGTGTGTGGGTAATTCAGTGGTGTCTTTGCTTCAGGAAGGAGAGGATAATAAAATTATTTGCAATGCAGAGATGCAGCAGCATTAGCTGCTCCAAAGGAGGCTGCCTGTGGTATCTCTGCATGCAATATTACACCTACAGCACAGGGTGTCTGTTGTGGGGAGAGGAAGGTGATTGTAAGCTGCTCTGAGACTCCATGTGAAGGGCGGGATATAATCCAATTTCTTCTTCTTCTTCTTCCTCGTGAAACTTGTGTAGTGATAATCTTAGATGGATTACAACCGAATGGTTATTAACCATGGTGGCTAAATGGAGCCTCTGCATTCGGGGGCAGCGTATCTCTGAATTCCAGGGACGCATTTGACCTCTGTGACCCCGGTTGTAGGCCTTCCCGGTTGGCCACCCTGGGAAACAGCATGTCGAGCCAGGTGGAACTTCAGTCGGAGGCCTAATACTTTGCATCCCTCCCATCAGGAAGCGCTTCCAGATCAGTGACTCCCAAAGGGACACAGAGGGGTAGCTCCTTTGGGTGCAGGTATCCTTAAAAGTGAACCTTTCTGGGGGCGTGAGAACTTGAATGCAGAAAATCTAAGGCGTCTCCACTGTCAGGAGTTTGAGAAGCCCGTTGGAGGGGGGAGGACAAAGGAAGAGAGGGGAATGCAGGTGAAGGGTCTCTAAAAATAGCGGCTCTTGTTCAAGCCACCTGCTGGTGTGGTTGCCACATGCGACGCGACACACACGTGTGCATGTGTGTGTACGTGTGGCACAGATACTTTTGACGCGCAGCGTGTGAAGTTTCACTCCTGTGTGAAGGAATCTTAAACCAGAGAGCTTGGAGGGCAAAGTGGAAAGGAAATTCAGCTGCAGCTAGAAGGGGGGGGGGGAGCAGCCGGAGGTGTGGAGAAAACCCGCCAAGCTGCTCTGAACTGGCCGTTGTTAGCCTGGCTTGTGCTCCCAGCTGGGTGCCGTGTTTGCCTCTGATAAACGCTGCTTTTCTTATCTTCTCCCCCCCTCCCTCCCTCCCTGAATAGAGATTCTCTTTATGAAGCCAACACAGCCACCTTGGAGAAAGTTTGAGGCTGTGTTGTGGTGGTGGTGGGGGAATGCTTGGTGGAAAGACGGTCTTTCTTATGTATTCATTCATTTATTTATTTATTGGGTTTCTATCCCTCCCTCCCTGTGAATGGGCTCAGGGCGACTTACCTTTAAAGGCACGATGTGCCAGAGTACATAAAACCTATAAACCCAGATAAAACAGGATAAAGCAACCATATCATTGCAATTAAAGTGCTCAACATAGAAATGATCTTCCAGTCACATTGAAGATGGCATCCTGTAGATGGACACAGGTCCCAATTCAGCCGTATCTGTCTCGTACGTTACTGTGGCTCGGTCTCCATATGGGCCAACCAACTACCCCGGTGTTACTAACAATAATAGTTTGTGGTAGTGGTGAGGGCGGCTCCTAATTGAAAGCTTGGTGGAAGAGCTCCGTCTTGCAGGCCCTGCGGAACTGTACAAGGTCCCACAGGGCCCTGATCTCCTCCGGGAGCTCATTCCACCAGGTAGGAGCCGCCACCAAAAAGGCCCTAGCCCTGGTAGTGGTGAGCCTGGACTCTTTGGGGCCTGGCATCACTAGCCGGTGTTGTACCCCAGACCGTAGTGCTCTCTGGGGTACGTGTGGGGAAAGGCGGTCCCTCAGGTATGTCAGATCCTGGCCATAAAGGGCTTTAAAGGTAAGTACCAGCACCTTGAAGCAAACTTGGCATGCTATTGGCAGCCAGTGCAGTGCATTCAGCGCAGGCCGGATGTGTTCCCATCTAGGGAGACCCATCAAAAGCCTGGCCTTTTAGATTTATATCCCGCCTTGCCTTCTCCATCTTCCCGAGCTTCCTTGACGGTTTCACCAGGTAAATGGCTTAGGAACGGGAGGGTCACCCTGCTGGATCTGACCCAAAGAGCTCTTAACTCGTCCAGCACTCTAACGCCCCCCCCCGAAGGCCTCTGTGCAGGGCAGGGGGCATGACAACCCCTTGTGCGGCTTGGTGGCAAGGAGGAAGCATCCCCCTCCTGGCTGAGAGCCATGGCTGGACCTCTCCTTCTCCTCTGAATCCTGTGTTAACGCCATCAAAGCTGGTGGCCACTGTAAGGTCCTGTGGCAGTGAGTTCCACAGGTTAACGGCCCGTTGTATGAAGGGTTTTTTCCCCCCTTTGGTCTGTCCTTGATTCACATTCTTTAGGCGACTCTGCATCCAAGAATTCTGGGAGACAGCACAAGATTTTGTAAACTGTCGTGTCCCTTCCCTGCCCAGCCTTTCCTCCGAGGCCGCAGGAGGTGGTGGCAGCTACAAGCACGGACGGCTTCAAGAGGGAACTGAATAAACATCTGGAGCAGAGGTCCATCCGTGGCTATTATTTTTTTTATTTTTCCCCATTTATATCCCGCCCATCCCGTAAACGGGCTCAGGGCGGGTTACAACATTTTAATAAATACAATATAAATTTAAAACATATTAAAACATATAAAATCAGTAGTCATGCTTGCCGTAGGGAGAATCCGGCCCATTGATGGAACTGAGTATGGGCGGTTATCAGTAGGTGGGAGACCGCAACCTCGGGGGGGGGATATGTGGACGCCCGCTGCCTTAGCCACAGGCCTGGCGGAAGAGCTCCGTCTTGCAGGCCCTGCGGAACTGCATAAGATCCCGCAGGGCCCTGATCTCAATGGGGAGCATGTGCCACCAGGTGGGGGCCAGGGCGGAAAAATCCCTAGATGGACGTCCTTTGGGCCGGGGATCACCAGGAGATGTTGACTTTCAGAGCGTAACGCTCTCCGAGGCGTATACGGGAAGAGGCGGTCCCTTAGGTATGTGGGTCCCAGGCCGTATAGGCTTTGAAGATGATTACCAGCACCTTAAAGCAGACCTGGTACTCAACCGGCAACCAATGCAACTGACAGAGCACATGCCGAACGTGGGCCCGCACAGGTGTCGACGTCAGCAGGCGGGCCGCCACATTTTGTACCAGTTGTCATTTCTGGATCAGCTTCAAGGGCGAGCCTGTTTAGAGCGAGTTGCCGTAATCAAGCCTGGAAGTGACCATTGCAGGGGTCACCGTGGCTGAGTCCTGGGGGGAGAGAGAGGGCTTCAGTAGCCTGATCCGCCTAAGATGGAAGAATTCAGATCTGGCGACTGCAGCAACCTGGGCCTCCGTGGACAGAGAAGCATCCAGAGTTACTCCCGGGCTCTTCACCAACGGGGCCGGCACCAGAGGCATAGATGGGAACTCTCAGGCTGGGGCAGGGGGTGCTCTGTCTTCTTGGTGCTTGGGGGGCAAGAGTGGGAGGGCTTCTAGTGCCCTGGCCCCACTGCTGGACCTCCCGATGGCCCCTGGTGTTTTTAGCCGCTGTGTGTCAGTGTGTTGGACTGGATGAGCCACTGGCCTGATCCAACACTGGCTTCTCTCTGATGTTCTTATGGAAGGGGTCCCACCTCTGCGTTGGGAAATCCCCAGAGATGTAGGGGTGGAGCCTGAGGAGGGCGGGGCGGAGGAGGGACCTCAGCGGAGTACAATTCTAGACAGTCCACCATCCAAAGCAGCCATTTCCTACTGGGATGAGCTCTTTTATCTGGAGATGCATTTCCGTTGCCAGCCTCCAGGTGGGGCCTGGAGATCTCCGGGGATCACAGCTCAGTCTTTCTGCTATCACTGTTCCAAACCCTTTCCGGTTCTATGGTTTTTTGTGTTTTTTTTAAGACGGTGTGATCAGGACTGTCCTGGGTGTGCCAAATGTTCTTCTAGTGAAGTTTTCTTCAAGCCTCGTGCGTGACAGGGAAGGCGCTCCGATCCACTTGATTATTTCGGTTGCCCTTTTCTGCATCTTTCTGCGGCGATTCTGAGAGAGAGCCAGAGAGAGAGTGAGGTTCTGTTGGCGTGCAAGTTTATCCGTTTGCAAGACCAGAGCCAGGCTGGTAGCGACAGGAAGTGATGGAGGTCATTAATCCATAGGGTTCCAGGGCTATTTTTGGGCAGGAACGCACAGGAACAGAGTTCCGGCTGGCTCCTGAGTTGGCCACACCCAACAGGAACTCATCAGCATAATAGGCCACACCCAACAGCAGAAACTCATTAGGATTGGCTACATTAGGGGTGTGTGGCCTAACATGCAAAGGAGTCTCTGCTACAAAAAAAGTCCCTGGGTTTTTTGACAACAAACAAGGTAAACAGAATAAGAAGCAAAAGGTGGGTGTGGCTGGATAACCACACTTTTGGCAACACGGGGCTGCGGCCTAATATGCTAATGAGATGTGGTGGCAGGGTGTGGCCTAATATGCTAATGAGTTTCAGCTGTTGGGTGTGGCCTGTTATGCTAATGAGTTCCTGCTGGGCTTTTTCTACAAAAAGAGCCCTGGGGTTTGCCATAAGTCAAAAGCAACTTGATGGCACTTCATGTGCCAGAATGATCAAAGGGTTGGAA